CAACAGATCTCTGATGTTACGGGTAACGGACAATTTTAATTTATTGTTTAAGCAGAATTGTCAATGCTACGATGAGAAAACTAAAAAATACATTTTTCTTTAATGTTCTCTCCACAAAATATTTTTAAATGTTTATTTTGTTAAATTTTACTTATAAGTGGAGAATTGGCAGTGTTAATATTGAAATATGATTTGATTTTTTAAAAATTGTCTGCTTTCTGAATTTATCTATAATGGTGGCACGTTTTGTTTTATTAAATTTACTTTCGATTTTCCCTAAAGAACTAATTTGTATGCAAATGAAATATTGTAAAAAATTTTGCACTCAAATTCTATTTTTAGTTTACATTTATGTATATTGCTAGTACAAAATCTGTATAAATATAATGTGAACAAAGAAAAATTAGGAGACATTTTCTTTGGATACAAAAATAATAAAATATTGTTTTCAGATTCAACGTATTGGATATTCAATTTCGAGTCTAATGACTGGATTAAAACAAAAATCGTAATCGTTAATTAGTTATTAAGGTAGTGCATAAGGTTTTAAATGTATTGATATTTAATAATAATTAATTGTGCACTGAATGTTTTTCTAAGGAATAATACGTTTTTTTGTATAGACACTTAGACAGTATTTACATATAGTATATTAAAGGTGTTTTAAATAAGTGGTAATACTGAACCTCGACACAGCAAAATGAATCCTTAAATAGTCTGAAATTGGTTAAGATTCATTGCAACTGTCGATGCGCTATACACACCTTCCCGCTAACCCAGCTGATACTTAGATCAACTGTGTAAATTTGTTTTATTGTTTGTAAATTCAAAGTTCATGTTAGGATTTTAATCGTGAACTGGTTCTAACACAATTTAACAGACAGATTTATTCAGATAGAGCACTTGCAGGACTTTTCATGAAGTTCACTTAGTCAGGATTCACTCTTTGTTTACCAAATTATGAATAAGGTTTCTGGATGCTTATTATTAAGTGTTACATTATAACACTTCTTAATTATTCCCACAAGATCGCGAATCGTCCATTAACGGCAGCTAAATTAACCTAACGTTGAGGTGATTATCATCAAAAATAGCTCAGAACTTCAAAATCTCGATTAAACCAGCTTTCAAACAAAGAAGGCATTGAAATCGCTTTATCCATCGGGACCACACACAGACACACATACACACAGAGAGAGAAATGCATCAAAGTCATAACACGGACGTATACAGACAGATACTGTTTGGCTCAAGAGTTAATAAAAACACATACAACAAGATAATTTGGGGTAAAAAAATTCTAGATCTTTCCAAAACTACATCAGTAATTAATTACCCCTGTTGTGCTCACGCCCTAAAAGGCCATCGTCAATTCCGACCCAAGGACATATTTAGTTACACTGTTACTTTAGATGTGGAATGCGTTAATCCCTCGTTTTAACTCCGGTCCAAACTGATACCACCACTTACTGTAAGCTTCACAAATGCAATATTGTGAAAACCGTATTTCTACCATACAATGTATCTCATTTAATATGTCACAATTTATAACAAATTTTGTAACTCCATGAAAGTAATATTGTTTAAATAAACAATTATTGAAATCATTTCAAGATACTTCGCTTCCTAATCCAAAATAAATTGAATGTGTTTCCGCACTAAAAAAGCGTAAATCGGTTCAGGTAAGTATTTGCCGAACCGAAGTTACCTAAGAAGCAAAGATCACCGCGGACCGGATTAGTGAATGCCCGACCTTGACGTTCTCCAGCCCTAAATAAAGTTGCAGAAATTAAAAAAGCGACTGAAAAGAATATTCAGAGGCTTGTTTAAAATATCTGCACATCTTTTTACGAGACACAACCCCATTTCTACTACCAACACTATTTTTCCAGAAAATGTTGGACCTGGCAAAGAAATTATGGCTTTTTGCATCTCACCAAATCGCCATGTTTCAGTTAATAATTCAAATTTGGGTTTAATATCCTTAACATCGTCAACGAAATCGTCGTATTTAGATAACACAAATGCTATATTGGTATATGTCGACAAACTAACATAAAATTTACAAAAACATTCAGTGAACTGTGGTGACCAGATTTGAATTAAAATTTCGCGCTGAAAAAAATTAACAGCAATGCGAAGTAGCATTTGAATAATTCGAATTTGAAAAAAATTCAATCAAGAAAAATCGTTAAAAAAAAAATAGGTCATGTGCGCGTTTAGTTCTTTTCTGGTAGTTGGTAGCTCCTAGGGATTTTCTTGGTAGTATCTAGTGAGTGGATTGGTAGAAGATGCTCGCTTTGTAGAGGGAGGTGGGACACCTCACTTTTGGTTTGCTTGTTGTGTGTGAAACCATGTGATGAGTAAGCTAGGTTAAGTTTAGTTGGTTTAGCAGTTAATAAAAAAGAGGGAAGCATTTGTTTAACGACCATTAATTGTAACGACGACGATGACACAGTTTCCCCAACAGACGTAGCTAATTCTTGCGGTTTTTTCCAAGCGGAAATATGCGGATTTTCGACCGACGGTCAAATGTGGTGTAAATTTGTTTTGTTGTTTGTAAATTCATAGTTCATCTTAGGATTTTAATCGTTAACTGGTTCTAACACAATTTAACAAACATTAGATTTATTCAGAGAGCACTTGCTGGAGTTGTCATGAAATTCACTTAGTCAGGATTCACCTTTTGTTTACCAAATTATGAATAAGGTTTCTGGATGCTTATTATTAAGTGTTACAATTATAACACTTCTTAATTATTATTCCCACAAGATTGCTAATATTTCATTAACAGCAGTTGATTCAACCTAACGTTGCCCTTTTCTGGGACAAGACCGTGAAGGTAGGGTAGAATTCATAATATCGTGGACTGAGATACGGGGGGATTAAAAATTTCTCCCCTTAAGTAGTTATTATCATCATGTCATCATTACATCACCGAGATATTTTCTCGCAAGGCCTGATACATTTTGTGTTTATTTATCATGTGTTTGTTTGGGTTAAACTGGGCACAGTCCACGATATAAACTCTCAAAGCTAATAGTTTTGAGTATCCAGTCACTTAGATCAAGGCATTATTTAACGTAATGTAAAGTCTTTGTTTGAATCGTTAATAAAGTGTGGCATAATTTAACATAATGTAAATCCTTTGTTTCAATCGTTGCTAAAGTGTGGCATAATTTAACATAATGTAAATTCTTTGTTTGAATCGTTAATAAAGTGTCGCATAATTTAACATCAGGTAAATTCTTTCTTCTGGCAGCGGCCATGTTGAAAGAGTATTTTTAAACCAAGCATATGTTTGAACTGTAAATTCTTATTGAACAAATTAACAACATTGTGGGTCATGTGGGACGTGGACATATTTTTTGACGCATATCTTTTAAAACGACTCATTTATCCAACACCATTTTGAACCTCCAGATTGTTATATTTATTTTTATGTTTGTTTGGGGGAATCTCTAACGATGGCCCACAATGCACCTGAATAACTTCCCTCTTGAAAATGAACTAATAACTCGAATGGACACTAAATATTAAACTCCTGTAATTTTGTTAGCTCTGCAATTCTTCGCCTCATACAATTTTTCTCTATCTCAAAGTTTTTAACTTCAGTATTTTCTTTGTTGTATAATTTAAACTGAACGTAAATTTTCATGCTCTGCAGTTTCTAACCTCACGTAGTTTTTTTGTCTGTACAAGTTTTACCTCACACCAGATCTTTTTTGTTTTTATAAATCTTCGCTAGTTTTTCTTGTAAATATTTGATTAATGCTTCCATCATATAATTGTCTGATGTCCGATCTAACCTCAGATAAGAATGCTTTGCTGTTTAAAAATTTCACAAGAATGAATTGGCGAATTTAAATGTTGTTTATTGGTCTTTCTGAAACTTTAACATTTGTTCAGTTGTAGTTTAATATCGGAGTAATAGAAATTCAACATTTAAATGGAATTGAGGTTAAATAACACATAAATACGGAAGCGGAGGGTGCGGTTACTAGTCGAGCTGCCGGGATTTATCACACGGCATATTCCTAATGGAGAGGTGCTGTGCAACAATGCTGGCGATATATAGAATCAACGTCGTGGATAGGAGAACAGCTACAACCAGGGGCCCCAAACTCCGCTCGTGATACAACGCCCCCTATGAGTAATTCTGTTTACATCCAATTACTTTACTTCAGATTTTGCTTTGTTTTTATTAAATTTGTGATATTCAAATATTTGCATTGATTCAGAACGTTTAACTTGATTTCGTTCAAAGCTTGGAAAGTTTTTTTTTGTAGCTGCGCACTAAGAAGGTCTTCAACCTGCGCAACTTAGTGACAGATTTTTTTTTCTTTTTTTTTTTGTCAGTGGAAGAACAACACATTTTGTGTCCTCCATTTATATTATATCTGTTCTTTACACTTTTATACTTTTACATAAACATCATACAACATTTAAAATGATCAGTTTTTTCCTAAGGCTTTGATTTTCTGTTTCATCAACTGAATGAGCTAAGAGACCTAAAGGGGTTAATTCCTCTAAATTATTAGAGACCGTTTTTGACGATTCAGTTATCATTTCAGCAATCGAAAAACTAGTGCCAAAATTAAAAAAAAATCTGCAGCTTATATTGTCATACTTCAGGACCATAGAGGATCGTAAAGAGATCTTAGAACATGCTTATATTCCTCGTTCGGAATGGTTGCTCTAATAAAAGTCATGTCTGATGCAAGACCGAAACCAAGGATTTGTACAAGATTTATAAATATACATTATAATCACATTGTTTGATCCGTTAATGTAGACCAAGATACATAGATTTTGATATAGACCTTATGTTTCAAGTACCCCAACAAAAAAAATCAAGGAGCTCTAAACATGGCGAAGAAATCGATCATTCAAGCGTCCACGTTACGCTATCCATCTTCCCTAGAAAATATTGTCAAAAAACACCCTTGGTTGAAAACCAAGTTTTTTGGTTGGGCTTGTCACACTTTTTGGTTTGGAAATTTTTCTAAGGTTTCTAATGCTTTATTAAATAATACTCAAATTAGTAAGAGGTCTCTGTAGCGCTGTTACATATCATTATTTTTATTATTGTGATTGTAGTTTATGAATTAATCCTATAACCAATTAGATGTCTATTACACTCTTTATCCACTCGGTAAAAGGAAACGTTCTGGTATATCCTGAAGGATTTGTGCTTTCGCAACCATTGGCACTAACGAAACTTGCAATTCCAACCAAATAAGGATATCTTCCCAAATATTCTATTAAAGCACCACCGTTATCTCCCTAAAAACAATTACTCAATTTTTTGTTACCACCAACAATTTGTTAATTAACCGTGCAAGTTCCCTGATTGTAGTTCCCTTGAACGCACACCATATTTTCAGAAATTTGGCTTCCGTAGATCATTCTGCACTCAGCATTTGAAATAGAGGCAACATACACGAATTTTAAATTGTCCGAAAGCTCAGGATCATCTGCATAATAAAATTTCAGAAGTGTTTCAATAAAAACATGTTTTGTGTAACTTGCAGTCACTCGTTTGGCCCCATCCTAGTACTGTAACCGTCGTGTAGTTGTACAATGGTTGTATTGGTAAAGTAGTAGGTTGAATATAGGCTTAAATTTAAAAAAATACAACAAAGGTTGACGATATCTTTGTCACGAATGTACTTACTAGTTAGAGTGATAGGTAATCGCAACTTTATCAATCCAATATCATTTTCAATCGACTCAGGATTAAAATCTGGATGCACAACGTACTCTGAAGATGCAACAATAACACGGTTCGGATCATCGCTGTTTAAGGTGATGGACCCTAACTGAATAGTGAAAATGATACCACTACAAATGTTGTTAATTTTGTTTACGTTTTCTAAAATGAGCAACTTACTTATTAACACAGTGACCAGCAGTCAAAATCCACTCTGTGCTTAACAAGGCTCCCCCACAAAAGAATCTGGTGTCTGGAGTTTGAGTATAAATAGCAGCTGCGAATGTGAATTGACCACTGTAAGCATCTTGTCCTCCTATTACCCTTGGTTCTAAAATTTAAAGATAAAGTATATTTTAAACACATTCTTTTTTAAGTAATTTTTACCATTTTGTCGATAAAATGATGGCGTTTTAGCATAAACCCAAATAAATAACGACGAAAAAATAAAAATAGATGAAACGAAATTGTTCATTTTTGTAGTTATAGTTACTCTGGAAGTGAGTTTCAGGTTATTGTAAGCATATAAAACTGATAGCGCGTTGTTGCTACTGCTGTATAAAGTTAATCCGCATTGGGTTATCCGAATTTATTGATAATAAAGCTTGGATTTCCTCAAACAATAAATACATAAATATTTTAAATAATCTTAGAGACCCACTGAATAAAAAAAAATCCGATATAGTAAAGACAACTACAAAAATGAAATAACAAAAATAATAAAACAGTTCAAATTTATTTAACAAGAAAATATCATGTAAGCACTATGTTACTAATTCCTTTCCTTAAGCGTAACCTTGACACCATTGATCGATTTTAAAACAGTCTCTGGAGACAACTGCACTTCATGCCTTGGAGTAGTTGGTTTAATTTCGAACTGCCTGACTATTTTCGAAATGACGCTTTTCATCTCTAACATGGCAAATTTTTGACCTAAAAATTATATTGCTATAATTAGCTAGAGTAATTACTAGCAAAAAACCTACCGATACAATTTCTAAATCCAGCACTAAATGGAATGTGCGAAAAAGGTATTGCATTATTAAAATTCTCGAACCTTTCTGGTTTAAACATTTCAGGTTCGGGAAAATAATCCGGGTTCCTATGTAAACCGTAAATAAAAATAGCAATATTAGTATTTTTGGGAATCACATAACCATCTAAAATTATTTTTTCAATAAATATATACTACTCTAGTCTTCAAAAGCTACCAAAATGTATTTCCTCTGTAGTATACCTTCCAATAACAGGAACTGAAGGATACAAACGAAGAGTTTCTTTCAGAACGCACTCCAAATATTTCATCTGTTGTAAATCGGAATACGTCGTTACGGGATTCTTCCGGTCTCCGAATATTTCTTTCTGCTCTTGAAAAACTTTTTCCTATGGTTTAACAAAGCTGTTAACATTTATTTAAAATTTCGTCGCGTACTAAAATACCTGGACTTCAGGATGATCGGCTAAGCAATACAACGCAAAACAAATTCCAGACGCTGTGGTATCATGACCCTAAAAAACATAATCATTTTTCAAAACATATACCACAAGTCTGTCGTACCTCAAACATAAAAGTATCGACTTCTTCACGAAGTTCAGAGACACTGAGCACATCCTCTTTTTCAGAAAACTTTAAGAGTAGGTCCAAAAAAGCTGTCCTTTTCTCATCATTTTTGACACGTCTGTTTTTTCTAGAATTTATCACTTTCAAAGTAAAACCGTGTAAAATTTTTAGCGCCTTTTGTTGTTTGTAGTAGTCTCTTGTCAACCAATAGAGTTTATCGAAGATTTTGAGTAGCGAAAAAGCTCTCTCAGTGACAGTTTTACACATATTTCTTACGCTTTCAACATAAGCGTTGTTATGACCACTTTGAGCACTTATTTTTGTACCCATAGCGGTTTCTGCAAAATGGTTAGACAAAGAAATTTCGATATTGACGGACTCACCACAAATAACATCAAGGGTGTACAACGTGATTAAAGTATCTAAATCGACGCTAGTGGATTCATCGTATTCGTGTAGTTTTTGAATAAGAACGTCTCCTGCAGATTCGAAAACTTCAACGAATTTTTTCAGGATTTCGAAATGGAAAGCTGGTGTTAAAATTTTTCTGTGTCTTTTCCAGTAGTCACCTAAAATATATTTGTTTTTTTGTCTTATTTCTATTTCAGGTCTTACCATCGCTTATCAATAATCCGTTTCCGAGCCACTTTCTTAAAAATGTGTAATTTTCTGATTTTTGGATAAGCTTCCTGTTGTTTAGGATGAATTCGATTAGATTGTAGTCTTTAGTGAGAATACCTTTGCGGATGGGACAAATTTCAGGTCCGAATCTCAGCATAATGGTATCACCTATGGCGAGAAATTTCGTGCAGTAATCCAACAGATCTGCAAATTGAGTTTTCCATATATATACTTTTTAATTAATCGATATCGAATTATTTAATGAATTTTTATATACACAAGATCTTCCTTTCTGACTATGGCATAACACCATATAATTTATTGCAAAAATACAAACACTGAAAGTTCTTTGATCAATAGTTTTTTATATGAATAAATGTAATATTTTGACAAACATATGCAAAACTGTAAGTGTTGTCCTTTTGATATTAAGTTTGAAATAAATAAGTTTGTAAAGTGCAAAGATTTTTTTTAGGAAAAAATTATCAAAAAAGAAAAAGGTACAAGTAAATAGTGGATAAAAACCACTGTATAATAAAAAAAATTGTCCCAACAAAAAATCTTCAATGAAAACCAAAATATACATTACGTGTGGTGGAGGTTATATGCAGCATGTGCCCCAAAAGTATAGTTCCTGGTGGTTCAGGAAAATATTTGCGACCATTTTCTGGACGTCTTTTTAGGAAAATGTACAAAAAAAGTGCGAGAAACAATACAGTCACCACCAACATTTTGCCACACGAACTAACGTATTAAATGCGTGAGATGATAAGGTATTGAGTAAGAGTTCCGATTACGCACTTCGGAACCTGTTATGGAGCCTATAATTTTTTTCTATCAAATAAATTTTCTAATCTAATATTATGGTTTTCAACATTTCGATATTATTCGACCTTGCGCAAATTACGAATTCCGAATCTGGAGTTATAGACCTTGACATTTTGTAGATCTATTGTAGGCTCCTCTGAAATAGATACTCTTCAAATATAACATAAATAAAAATTGGTCTAAGGTTATTTAGACAGAACTTCCCTCCCTCCAGAGGCGGATCTAGACTAGGGGCCTGATGCTATTATTTAATTGGGGCCCCATTTATGAATAGAAGTTTGTTAGAAGCATTTAATTTACACATTTTCAGTACTTTAATATAAAAAAAAACAATAACAAAAAATAAAATATAATAAACAAACACAAACAAATTATATAACAATTTTCTTTCTGCACTTGATGTCATCATACGTTCGTATGGCGCTGTCATACGTAATTGACCTTGTGTTGTCATTATCAATTGCAAGAATCGACAAAGAACTTAGTTTTTCCTTTTTCATTGTCGATCTATATTTCTTTTTAATAAAATTCAATTTAGAAAAAGCTCTTTCAGCTTCACAACTGGTCACTGGCAGTGTCAAGAAGATCTCTACTGTGTACAGATTCGGGAAAATGTCAATGAGATTTTTTTTTAAAATGCAGTATTGTATTAAATAAATTATTTCCTGTGTGACTGTCACTTGGTATAAATGATAAAAATCTTTCAAAAACATTTCCTTGGGAGTGTATTTCAAAATAATTGCCAGTTGGTCCGTATGTGACAAATCTGGAGTAGAATTCACAATAATTGAATAATATTTTGTATCTGCATCGTTTATGTCCTCAATAATTTTTTTTCTTACTTGAGTTGTCATTATGTTGATTATCTCTTCATAAACCGTTTTAGACAATTAACTTGCAACTAGTTGTTCGGTTTGGCATTTCACTATATGTTGTTTCAAAAAAGGATCAAATTCCGCAATAAGTTCCATAAGTCCCATAAAATTTCCATTATGTGATGAACCCCATTTTTCATCATGTCCTCTAAATGGCAATCCTCTTTCACTTAAAAATTTAATAACTGCCACAACGCGCATCAGGACATTGTAATAATATTCACACTCATTTTTTATTTTTTCCTGAAGATGCCTGTCAACAACGTTTTTGTTTTCTTTGCGGGATAACCAGGTTAACAGCGCCTTTTTGTGATCCTGAGATTCTTCATGACTGTCCAAAGTACGAACTATGTTTGCCCAATCTGAGTAACCACTCATTAAAGATGGTTTTGTTCTGGAGAATAATTTGCACACTAAACAGAAAACACATCATTTGCTTTTCGAATAGGATAACCAAGATCTCGTTAATTGTTGCCCATTTTTTAAACGATTCGGAAAATATTTGTTTGTAAATTGTCTGCTCTGTCCCTTATAATTCCTGATAGACTCAGAGTAAATATTGTCTTCCCTTTTATTTTGAAAAAACGAGCTTTCTTTTGATAGGCAACTTCCGATAAAATTTTCATTGATAAAATTCGGCCATAATGTTATATCTTTAAATTTATCGTTAAATATATCACTTACGATTTGTTTAGCCTCATCTTTAATCATGTTTTCATCAACTGTATCGGTGACGGTGGTAGCGTAGTTGTTGCATAAAGTTCCAGCAGAATTTTTCACACTTTTCAAAATAACTTCATTTTCACCAGTTGAGTTGTTTGAAGTGGAAGTAGAACGTTGAGGTGTAAAAAAACTTGTGACTTTTCGACATTTTGCTAGTTCCTGTTCATGTTGAAGCTTAAGCTTCCTCTTTTGGCTTCCACTGAGATATTTGCGCTCAGACATTTTAAGTTGCGAAATGATTTTCTATACCTTGCATTTTGTTTTCCCAGAATTCTGGCTTTTTTTCCTGCAAATCTGTTGAATTGTTTTTCTTGTTTCTGTGTACTCTTCACAATTCTCTTCAGTCTTTATTTTTTCCTTTTTTCAATTTCTCAAAAGTCATCTTGGCTGTCTGGGCTGTCGTTTCATTAGCTTCCCATTTGGTATCAATGTTATCTTCTGTTTTTTTTTTAATTTGCTCCCAACTCTGTTACAATTGCTTCTTTTTTTCATTCATCCTTCAATTCTGCAATGTTCGAACGTTTTCTTACATTTGCTTTTACACATCTGTAGCGTCAAATATTTTTTGCTCTAACTTCATTGTCACCAAAAGATGATCTGAGTTAATGTCTGCTCCTCTGTAACTTTGGACATCTTTTACAAGCTTGGCATGCTTAGTTTTAATACTTAATTAAAACATGATTTATCTGATTATAAGTTTTACTCTGAGAGGAAATTCAAGTAGTCTTGTGAATATTTTTATGATCAAAAGAGGTCATTTAACTCTCTTTAGCAAACTGTATCAGTTCTAAGCTATTGTCACCGCATACTTTATGTTTACTTTTCTAAAGTTATTTACATAGAACTTTCCTCGTTTCTAAAGTATACAGTCGAACAACTTTTTCGAAAAAATTTTTGTTGGCATTTAAAACCTCCCTCACCTCTATTTTCTGAATAAACAAATTTGGAGAAGTGGGTAATTAAAGTGGTCCCTATTTAAAAAGATATTATATTTTTAAACGAAGACGGAACTTAAGACAATTTTGTTTTACTGGAGAGCGGAAAGTGCCGAAAGTATGTATGCACAATGTCCTCAAAATATGCAAAAATTAATTTAATGTATAATAGTAATTAAAGTATTGGGAATATATTATTATAACTTGTAAATGCAGATAATTTTTTTCAAAACAAGCACTGATAACCTTAGACCCCTTATCATTAGGTAATTATTTTTATTAAACAATGGTATTTCAATTTAACGATAAACAAATATGGTACTACTAAAATGAAACACCGAAAAAAGTAAAATATTTAAAATTTATTTAATAACAATATATGATAAAGCAGAGTCTTAATAATAATTATAAAAACAGTTTCCCTAAATAAGTAGGAACCATATTGCATTAATCCCTTTTCTTAAGCGCAACTTTGACACCATTCCCCGATTTTAAAACAGTCTCTGGAGACAACTGTACTTCATGCCTTGGAACAGTTGGTTTTATTTCGAACTGCCGGACTATTTTCGAAATGACACTTTTCATTTCTAACATGGCAAATTTTTGGCCTAAAAATTTTAAATGTTGCTATAATGAAATATATTAAATATTAACACACCGCCTACCGATACAATTTCTACGTCCACCACTAAATGGAATGTACGAAAAAGGTAACGCATTATTAAAATTCTCGAATCTTTCTGGTTTAAACTTTTCAGGTTCGGGAAAATAATCCGGGTTCCTATGTAAACCGTAAATAAAAATAACAATATTAGTATTCTTGGGAATTACATAACCATCTGAAATCATTTTTTTAATAAATACGTATACTACTCTAGTCTTCAAAATCTACCAAAATTTATTTCCTCTGTAGTAGGTATACCTTCCAATAACGGGAACTGAAGGATACAAACGAAGAGTTTCTTTCAGAACGCACTCCAAATATTTCATATCCTGTAAATCGGAGTAATTCGTTTCAGGGTTCGTCCGGTCTCTGAATACTTTTTTCTGGTCTTGAAAAACTTTTTCCTACAGTTTAACAAAAGTGTTAATATTTATTTAAAATTCCTTCGCGTACTAAAATACCTGAACTTCAGGATGATCAGCCAAACAAATTCCAGAGGCTGTGGTATCATGACCCTAAAAATCATAATCATTTCTCACATACACGACAAGTGTGTCGTACCTCAAACATAAAAGTATCGACTTCTTCACGAATTTCAGAAATACTGAGTAGATCATCGTTTTGAGAAAACTCCAAGAGTAGATCCAAAAAAGCGGTCCTGTTCTCATCATTTCTAACAGATCTGTCTTTTTTAGAATTGATAACGTTCATAGTAAAACCGTGTAAAATTTTTAGCGCCTTTTGTTGTTTATAGTAGTCTCTTGTCAACCAATAGAACGCATCGTGGATTTTAAATGGCGAAAAAGTTCTCTCGATGATAGTTTTACACATATTTCTTACGCTTTGAACGTAGGCGATGTTATGGCCACTTTGAGCATTTATTTTTGTTCCCATAGCGGTTTCTGCAAAATGGTTAGACAACGAAATTTGATAGTAATGGACTTACCACAAATAACATCAAGTGCGTATAACGTGATTACAGTATGTAAATCGACACTAGTGTCTTCATCGTACTGCTGCAGTTTTTCGATAAGAACGTCTCCTGCAGATTCGAAAACTTCAACGAATTTTTTCAGGGTTTCGAAATGGAAAGCGGGTGTTAAAATTTTCCTGCGTCTTTTCCAGTAGTCGCCTTAAATATTTTGTTTGTATTTCTGCCTTGTTTCTATTTTGGGGCTTACCATCGCTTACCAATAATCCGTTTCCAAGCCATTTCTTTAAAAATTTGTAATTTTCAGATTTTTTGATCAGGTTGTTGCTGCTTAAGATGAATTCGATTAGTTTGTAATCTTGGGTGAGAAGACCTTTGCGGATAGGACAAATTTCGGGTCCGAATCTCAAGGTAACGGTATCACCATAGCTGAGAAATTTTTTTGCGCCATCCAGTATCTCTGCAAAATTTTTAATATCCCAGTAATTAACATATTTCATGCCGGCCATTTTGAAAAAGTGGTAGTAATTCCCAATTCGAAATGAACAAAAAATTTCTTTAGGTACTTTGCGAAATAGCGGTCTAGAATTTTTTATAAAAGTTTTTATATTTTGACAAGCATATAAAACACTGAACAGTATGTGATAGTTTTTTGGTTTTTTCTACATAAATAATAATCTAAATCTGCAAAGATGGAACAGCTACCAACCAAGAATATAAAATTGCTATATTGGAAATGATTGACGATAATCCAATTGTCACTCAAAATATTGTTACGTTGACCGGGTGATTAAAATCGACGTGGGTAAAACTCAAAAATTTCTTTCTTTCTAACTCGAATTTACAAGACTAACTGTACAGCGATTGTGCACAAAATAATTCTCTCAATATTCTCAATTAGATGTTTGTGTTTTCAGAAAAATGCTTTACCACTGCTAGTAGAAAACGTAACAAATTTATGAATGGACTGCAATTAAAGAGCAGGTGGATCAAACTTGAGTTGATATTGTCAAACATTTGGAGAATAAAATAAAGAATGCGTGTAGAACTATCACTCCAGAGACTTTCTCCGAACAAAGTCGTCATTTTTGGTAATAATTCTAGCTTATGACTTACAAGGGGGTTAGCATTTTGAACATATATTACATTAAATTAACAGTTATTGCTTTAACGTTATATAATTCAAAAATTGAATTTTGTATCAAAATTTCTAAAACAACGGTGAACTAGGTATGTGTCATGTTAATAAATATACAGGGTGACTGCGAAATATATGCAAATATTTTAACCACGGCATCCCCCACCCTAGTAGAGCCGAAATATAAAAAAAAACAAATTAAAAATCGAATGGAGCAAAACCCCCATGAACCACCCTCGACACGAAGCCACTGAGCCACCTTGTAAACAGAGTTGGAAAAACGTTCGAATAAAAACGACCCAAACACTTTCAGTTTCAATTAAAAGTAAAACCGACTTTTTGCTGCTTATCATTCGTTCATTCATTTACTCATTCATCGTTAAAGGTCAGTGTGAAAGTTTTTTGGTAATTTTGATTCTGACGGATGTTTGGTCCTTGTCACAACGATTTTACATTGTTTATTGGAACAGAAATAAGAGCAACTTAGAATGCTACTACCTTTTTACAAGAAATGTTGAAAATGTTGTCCTTGACTAGCAATACAAGCGTCAGAGCGTCGCAAGAGATTTGTTGATAGGTAAAAAAACTCCGGAGTAGCGGCTGCCACTTTCACTTGTTGAAGCTCTTGGATAATTTCTGGACACTGTTGATTTCCACAAACGAATTGTTTCATCCAACCAATACACGTTTCTCGAAAACCGTCTCTTGAAATCGTACTTGTTGACGAGTATGTGGAGTTTCATGGGACAAAAAGTAAGTTACACAACGTGGACAATCAGCGGGCTCCAAACCGTGCACTTTGTCAACATGGTATGGATGTGACTGTGTTTTTTTAATGTAGGATGCACTACAAGCTGCGAAAATCCAAATTCTCCTTTCTGCCCCATCACGACCACGATCGTGAGTTTGAGGTTGAAGGTACCATGATCTCGGAGATGCTGTACCACCATATCGACACACTCTGCATTGGAAAACTGGACCATACACCGATTTCAACGACCGCTCGATAATGACTGGCCCTTTTCGTGTTTTTCACGTTGCGATTAAAAAAGTGCCTGATAAAGTTACTTTTTTGGTTCTTACTCCGAGTCCCCTACCCATTCATTGCAGTAATTATGTAGGTCACAAAACATTACCAGCGGCGCGTATAACAATTTACATTTAATTTCAAATAATTTTTTCTAGACACTGCTACCACTTAGGACCGTGAATTTTTGCCAGTGACATAATCATATTGTGAGCTATTCCCCATTTTTTTTTTTGCATGTATTTCGCAGTCAGCCTGTAGAAAGGAAGATCTACGCTACTTATGAAAATGTGCTGCTGGACAGAATAACTTGGATTAAAAGAGAAAAATATGCATTACGTGTGGTGGAGGTTATATGTAGTATGTGTCCCAAAAATATGTTTCCGGGTGGTTGAGGGAAGTTATTGCCACTTTTGGTTGGATTTTTCTTTAAGAAAAAGTACAAAAAGACTACCAGTAACAATGCAGCCACCACCAGCATTTTGCAACACATACTGGCGCATTAAAATCTTAATATGATAAGATGC